GGGACCTCTTGTATTGTATTTATCATCCAATATCAATAACATATTTTCTCCCGTGCTTTCTCATACATATAACAACATTGCTTTGATAGTGTGTGTGTGTATATATAAAACCTAATTCTTATGGGATCCACATCTTCTTTAGATTATATTACTTGTAATGGCTAGTATGTGCTCAAATCGCATCAACTAATCAAAGCTTGTTTTCTGGCATGAGAAACACAGGAAAAAGAATAGTTGTTTTTCGGCTTGATGAGTAACTTTTTCAAAACCTGTATAATGTGGAGCTACAGAATTTCACTTCTTGAAGGGGAGCCTTGGAGCAACGGTAAAGTTGTCTCCATGTGATCTATAGGTCACGGGTTCGAACTGTGGAATCAGCCACTGATGCTTGCATTAGGGCAGACTGCCTACATCACACCCCAAGCCCTTGGGTGTAGCCCTTCCCAGGACCCTGCGTGAACACGGGATACTTCGTGCACTGGGCTGCTTATGATATGAAATTGTTCTTCAGCCTTGCAGTCTCAGATTCTCTTTGGTGAACTTTTCTTTCATCCAACAAAAAAGAGAAAAAAAGTATACCCAAAATGCATGATGAAACTATGATTCCTTACACTTACACGAAGAAGAGACTAGAGAATCATGCACATCAGTATCGAAGTCAAGAAATAAAATTAAGATAACTCCTCAAAGACATAAAATTTATATAAGACATAAAAAAGATTTTTAAAAAAAAAAGATAGGAGCATAATGAAACCAAAAACACACACGAAATAGAATTGCAAAATACTAATCATATCGGCTCGACTCCTGGTCTTACGTTTGGAAAATAGGGAAAGATAAAGAAAGGAAGGTAATCTCCCATCCCTTGTTTGATTTAAGGAAGTAAGTGGAAAGTGAGCTATAATTCCAATTTGGGCCCAACAATTTCTGCATGCTTTACTATGCTTTGGCACAAACTAAGAAACGATCTCTCCAATGCGAAAATGGTTGAAAGTTCACATTGTCATCATCTTTAGTAAAATTAAGTCCCCCGTGAATAATGATAAACATAGGCGGATCTAGGATTATAACTTGATGGGTTTGACCTCTAAGGTTCTTAGCAATGAACCCATCGTACTTTTAAAATTATGGGATTAATATTTGTTGAAATTTTGTGGGTTTTCATATAAAAATCCATACGCCGCATCGAAAATGCGAGATTCAGATGAACCTGGTGCCGAAGCATATCTGCCCCTGATCATAAACAGCTATATCGTAGTTTTTAGCAGATAAACCCAATTTAGGTTTAATAATACATCCTAGCAGAGGACAACCATGCTATTTTTCCTACAGGTAATTTTCTATTCCCTTCCTTCCTTGCCCTAGTTTATAAACATAGGGTAAAGGTATGACAATATTTGAACAACTGATCATGCAATGTGGATCTAATCTAGAAGTCCCTACAAAACAACGAACCTTTTGCCTACCATAGTACTTGACCAATACGTTGGGGGACACCTACGTTGTATTCCCAAAAAAAAAAAAGTTAATAATTCTTTATTAAAGAAGTAGTCTTACTTAAATCTGGTGTCATATAGAAATATCAATAGCTCTGCAGAAAAACATACATAGATCCACCAGAGCATGTATACAAATTTCAATTTTTTAACAGCTGGTATAGAAATAAGCAGATTACGTCCCACAATCATAAAGGCTGGGTAAATATACCTGGAAGCCCCAAAAGAATGAGTACACATATCTTGTGACAACACTCGGTTCGGTGGTGAGATCAACAGCTTGTTTATAGATTCCAAAGTCAAAACTACTTTCAGTAAAACAAGCATCAGTATAATTCTTCCACTGGCCCCATGTAATATCCGACCGAAACTTTGTGTAATCGGTGCCATGACCACAGTCTATGAACTCCATACACCTTTCTATGTTTGAGCTACGACAAGCAACTTGAAGGCATTGATTCACCCTCTAGAGATGGAAGGAAAAAAGTTAAATCCGAGTATGATCTTGGAAACAAGGACAAGGCAACTGGTAGAAAGCACTTAAAAAAATTCAACATATTTGTTTCACGCATTCCCACAAACCCCTCTACCCTCAGAAGTGTACTAAGAAGTAAAAGTAATGGCTGTATCATCAACAAAAGACATAATTAAATTTAAGTAAGGAACAGAACAACTAAGCACAGTGAAGAACAAGTATTCACCTGTAAACCAAAAAGATACCAGCATGATCCCACCACATGGCTCGATAGAGATGGAGGAAAAAAGTAAAATCAGAGTATTGTTTTGAAAACAAGGACAAGGAAACTTGTTGAAAGCACTTAATGATTTTCAATATATTTGTTTTACGCATGCCCTAAAACCCCTCTACCCTCAGAAGTCTACTAAGAAGTAGAAGTAATGGCTATGTCATAAACAATGATATAATTAAATTGAAGTAAGGAACAGAAAAACTAAATACCGTGAAGAACAAGTTTTCACCTGTAAACCAAAAAGATACCACAATGAGCCCACTATATTGCTTGATACAACAATTATGAGAAGATTTATGACAAAAGTTGCCCATATCGACTCAAATATAAAACCACTTGGAGACTGGCCAGCTACCAAATAATAAATCCTGTACAACCTAGAATTGTACTGGAGTAGTATAGCTGCCCACAATAGATTCTTCGCGTAATTTACCCCAGATGATCCAATAGACTTGGGTAAAACCAACAACAAGATGATCTGCACATAGCGAATCTATTAAGTATACCTCAAAACCAACAAGTGCCAGAGAAGGCAACAAGGGAATTAACTTTACTAACAACTGAACTCCTATGTTCAGGTTGCGTACAATAAAATCAACATAAGGTTGTCCCAGTACAATCAGTTAAAAAGTGGGTGCCATTGGGTTCATGGTGTACATAAAAGCACTTAGATATGCGAGAGAAGTTACTTTTCACTCCTAATTCTATCAGTATTGACTCCTAGCATGTCTAAATTATAAGACAGGGAAGACACATTTACCTGAGGAAGTGGTAGTACGACAAAGAAGTCAATAACAAAGTATCCAGAAAGATAATTTGCAGCAATCTTTTTAGGGTGGTCAACCAGGTCACCTGCTCCCACCACCCTAGATTCAGGAACAACATAAGCTAAGCGGAACTGCAAAAATTGACATCATGTAACCGCACATTATTGAGATAATAAATAAGATGAACAAAACTGAGTGTCAAACACTTGTCTCTAAGCAGGAAATTGGAAGTAAAAAAAGTAAGGTCAACCAGCTTTTGAAGATCTATTAACTATTTAGTTGTCACGTTGAATTGACTAAGTATTAAACAGGATGTAGTAGAACTGCCAATAAATATTTCTGGAATAGCTTTAATCTGCAGAAGAATAAAAATGACATTCTGGAGAAACAATATTTGTTATAAAACCAACCACGAAATACCAAAAAGCCAGTTTTGCTGACAGATCAGGAAAAGAAGAGTGCCAGATGACAACTCATATGGTGCACAAAGAATACTGCATAGGTAAACTGGTGTTGCTAATAGAAAGAAAAAAGGATTCTGCAGAGAGAAATGGGAAATGTTACCTGAAGAAGAATGTGCACTAAGTAAATGATATCAGTGATGCTCCTCAAAATCACAATAGTTTTTGTCATGGGCCAATTTAGCACTATGCAGTTGTTCCCCTAGAATCAGAACAAGAAGATTAATCTTAATTAATTCAATTGTAAACCTTGTTTATCATATATAGAAGATTTTGGCACTTTAAAAAAATTCCAATGAGCAAGATAGAATGTAAATTTCCATATAAATACCTAATAACAACATACATTTTAGATTAAAGATCCATAGAAACTAGAAAGAAAGCAATATCTTGTCTGAACAAATATTTAAAGGAGTTAAAGGTCTGAAGATCACAACATGCCTACAAAGCATATGACTTCTGCTTTAACAGTTTAAACTCTTGGCCTGAAAAGCATAAAACCTCCGCGAATAACTTCAGTTGAAGAGATAATGGTCATTAATCTCAGGCATAAGACAGTGGCTATATGTTCTTGAGCTCAAAGTGGCCTACTTTAGAATGAAACAGATTTTCCATAGCATGATTTTGTCTAAGTATTGGAATGGCAAACCTGTGTTACATAGCTAGTCAATACTGTACATTTATTTCAGAGCAAACCTTTTGTAGTCTTTTATAATTGATAGGTCGTTTGCGTGAAAGTTAAAGGGAGCCCGGTGCACAAAGCATCCCGCATTCATGTAGAGTCCGGGAAAGGCCCGCACCCTAAAGGGTGTGATGTAGGCAGCCTACCCTAATGCAAGCATTAGTGGTTGTTTCCATGGCTCGAATTGTGACCCACAGCTCACACGGAGACAACTTTACCGTTGCTCTAATGAAAGTTATGTTCTTTATTATGCATGGTAATTATCGGAGTTATGGTTCCTTCACAGTTTCTAGAATAGGAAGTTCATATAAAGCAACAATACAGAAAGGAAACTTTAATTTCAGTATGCACAAGGTGATGGAGTGGTCATTTTACATATTTGTGTATGCCTGTCATATTTGACATACTTTCATTATATTAGATAAATTCTGGTTCTGCAAAAGCTATCATCTCTTCACCAATCTATTCACTTCCTACTTTGAGAGAAATGAATTTGCACATCTTAGATAGTAGTAAAACTTAGTGGGTGAAAGACAGAATGACTTGATTCTTTCTTATCCAGGTAAAAGCATGCCAAATTATGTGCACTTTGGAAATATACTGCATGTACCTAGATCTAAGTAGCACAAGCTAAGTGACAGGTTTTACACAAAAATATGTATGCCTTATCCTACATAACCAAATATAGAAGGGAAAGTAATTTCACTTTCATAGAACTATAAAAGAATACCTGTTGGACATTAAGCACAAAGAAGAATAGGGGATCTATAAATACTGCAAATAGGCATGAGATGACAAAAAATTTGTTCCACTTCTGGATAATCTTCGCATGAGGATTCATGACACCAGGAATATATGGATGCAAGAAAGAACAAGTTCTCTCCGCCCATCCTTTTGTATCTCCATACAGCATATTGTGAAACTGTAGATAAGAACAATAAGAGCAAAACACATGAGAATTTAGACAGCTTAACATCCAGTGCATCCTTTGGAATTCATACGAAATGAGATAATGTATCTAAGAGAAACATCAGAATAACTCTAACAAAGCAAATCCAGAAAAAAAAAAAAAAAAAAAAAAAAAAAAAAAAAAAAGAAGAATAAGAAGAAGAAATAGGCCATAACGCCTTCGAAGCCTTCAGCATGCACATGCCCATGGAGTATTTAAGCTTAAAGTTTGTATCAATTGCCACGAGAACATGACAACTCTATTCGTCTCTTTCATTTCCTTTTCAGGAAATGACATGGAACACCATCTGCAAGAGCCTTAACTAACTTTGAGGCGGCAACCGTTTCTACTCAAGACTTACCATAACTGTGGGGCGATGGAAAAAGTCTAGTTCATCCTCCCGAATGAAACAATGAAAGCGTCATTGGAAGCAGCTTTAGACCACTTTTTTGGACAACAGATCATATGCTTCAGTACACTTTATTCATCTTTATCTACATAGACTACATAATCCCTTCTCATCCTTATAACATCTTGACAATAATTGCAGGAAGTTGCTAGAACATCTTCCATTTCTATTTTCACCACGCACTATACCAGAAAGATTATAATTAGCGCAAGCAAAGACATAATGGGTGGAAGGGTTGAGTATTTTAGTCTTGGACTGTTAATCAGCCCTACCATATAATTATCCTTTTCATCTGTTAACAAAGCGACAAATATACTTGCAATTGAACTTGCACAACAGTTTTTTTTTTTTTTTTTTGATAACGTAAAGGTTGTCATTAAATAAAGTAGGTACACAAAAATACATGGCTAGAAGGATAAAAAATAGCCTATTATGTAATCCTCCCAAGAATCTCTAGAAAATCAAAGTATTGTTTCACATTTTCCGGTATACTACTCTTACACCATAAACTTGCAAAACATTTAAACTGATGAATTCAGACTAAAAATATTATTTGAGATATGGACAAGGTCATTCTAATAAGGAATATTGGAACTGGGAAACACAAAGCTCTTTTAATTGCAAAACCATAACCGATAATAATACCAAATTTTGAGCATTATGGAGTCATCAGTATATCATCAACTTGAGTGCAAAAATAGGGAAACTTGATTGGACATGTACAGTAGTTTACGAAACAATAATATTCTAACAAAAAGCAGAAACTTCCTACGTGGCCAAAGCTGAAATTCTGACTATGCGAGATGATAAACACAAAAAAAAAATTAAAAAAAAATGCATATTTTGAAAATAGTGTGCATGGTAGATAAAGCTAGAATGGGGGCTCCAAAACAAACACACCGTAGCACATAGCTAGGAAGGTATACATTTAACTTGAGCAAAGTGCAATACCCGGTGATCAAACATATCTGAAAACTTTGAACTTTTTTTTTGTGCTTTCAAATGGTTATCGGTTGGGCATGTTGTGCAGTAAGGATCACTGCACATGCCCAGTTGACCAGACTTCAATAGATGTTCATTTTTTCCAGTGTAGTCATTATTAGGCCAACCATTTTGTTCTCCACTACCAATTGAAGGATATTTTTCCGTTGTTGGCAGAGTTGGTTTGTGCACTACTGCAGCGGGAGTGGGCCGAGAGCTATTCTCAGGCTTGTGACTAATATACAATGGCCCGCTCATATGAACCAATGAAGTTCGCCCCTCACTTCTCAAAGGACCATTATAGCCTACAAAACTGCTATCATCTCCAAAGGAATCCATAGAGCTCATTGGCATTGATAAGGATGCACTCCTTGTCCTGTACACAAAACGTTGATTTTGAAAGCCATCAATTTCATTAGACTGCGGATATGATGGTGATAACATCGGCATCTCATCTATTTCAGAAGTTCCCATCCCTCAGATACTCAACCTGCAAGAGGAAATTAGCAGCATTTTAATGAAGAAAAGCTTTTGTCATGAAACTTGACAGATTAAAGAACAGAAGGTGCAAAATGACTTCACAAGTCTTTGTCAACTGAAACTACAAAATCCAACACAGAAATAAAAGTTTGACGAGTACGCGAAACAAATTTCTAAAGTAAGCTGGATTAGTTAACGCAACTTAATAAAGCAAATTAGCAAATTTCCAGGACCTCAGGAGGAAAGAGGAAAACCACCATCCAAAGTGAACCAAAGTTTTCAGACAATAGCATATTAAGACAACTGAAAAAGCTGTATACGCAACAGAGATGAATAAGTAGTGAGTGTGCATTCATCTCCTGAGACATATAGATCTGTATACTTCTGTTCAAATACTTCCAGTACTGGGAATTCATTATAATGCATTAAAATACTAGTAATTTTCTTTAGAGGAAAAGGCTTGTATCAACAGAAAACCATAAGTTAGATTCATTACGAAATAAGTTATCATTCTTCTTAGTACTGCTACTCTAACTTCGCCTTCGCTTCCAATACTATAAAAATGAATATCTAGCAGCTAAGCAGTGGCGGAACCAGAAATTTTGTACAAGAGGATTCAAAAAAAGAAAAAGGATATTACAGTTGGGATTTAAACCTATGACCTAAAGCAACTTTTGAACCCCCTTCACTACAATACTTGAATTTTAGTGAAGGGGATTCAACAGCTCACATATAACCAAAAAAATAGTTTTTAATCCTATTTGCACAGTGTAATTTTCCGAGGAACCCCTTCACTCTACTTAGTTCCGCCACTACATCTAGGTAACCGAAATCTCCTTTCACGTAGAAATGTATTCACATAGGTATTACAGCATTTGATTTCAGGGTATAATATCTTGAAACTTAAGAGACATAATTTAAGAGTATAATTATTTTGTCAAATTCATTATCTTCCAATCATATCCTCGTGTAATTTTTTTTTGTAACATTAAAACATAGATATGTTAAGTTGGCTTTTGTTTTGCTCTCATAGAAATTTTAAGGAAGGAGAACAATTTTGCCTAGACAACTGATGCCTCAAAAACTTTTTTGATCAATAACATGCTTCACTGAGGCTAATTTTACTTGTCGACATGCATTCCCAATAAAAAATTAAGAAAAAAGAATGACAAATATCCGAAAACAGACAGTTCACCTTCGCTTGTAGCAAAAGGATAGTGAAATTGAATATCAAGAAACTCAAAGAAACGTGTCGAACAAGTAAAACCAAGTAAAGAAAAGCTATCTCTACTAAAGCAAGAAAGTAAACCTGATAATTCCAGCTGAATTATGGGTTCTACTGGGAATTTCAGTAAAGAGACAGAGGAGAGAGTAGCAGAGAAAGAGCAATGGCTAATTGGTAGTAAATTACGAAAGAAAAGGAGCCGTAGAGAGGGAAAAGAAAAAAGAAAGAAAGAAAAAGGACGAATTCAGAGTTGAATTCATTTAATTAATTTTTCCTTTCCTCCTTTGGTCGTCCTTGACGACTTTGTGGTTTCACCGAAAATATAGATAGCATTTTGGCCCCTCTTCCTCCTACATATTTTGTTGTCTATTTTTCGTTCATATATAATATTTAAAATTTATTTATTAAAATTATTTTAATTTTATATATTATTCATATCAAACAAAAATTATTTATAATTTATATAAAATTTATTATTAGTGCGTTAATTTAAGAGATTCAGTTATATTCTTTTTTTTTTTTCCTTTCCTTTTTTCCTATTCTTAGCCGCATTTCTCCACCTAAAAGCTAGCTAGTTGAAAATCAAATAAGAGTAATAAGATATGCAAAACAACAAAAAATTAAATGACGGAAATTTGATGTGAAATCATTAGTTAAAAATTTTGTTGAGTAAGCTTTCGTACACTCATACTTATTTGGACAACAATGGCCTTACTTGCATCTCAAGTTACCAAATTTTTCCTTAATTTCAAAACTTTCATTAAACTGGACAGTCTCGAAAATTTGAGATTCCTTTTTCTACGTAACACTTACCCTTCTCAAGTTACCATTTTGTTTCCTTAATTTCCGAAACCTAGACAATTTAGGAAACTTGAAATTCCTATTTCTATAGGCAAAATACATCTTATTTGTATACAACTTATTTATAACTTTTATACATTATTTTTACCTAATTAAATACAACTACAACATCATACAACTTAAATACAATTTTCATACAAATTTTATACAATATCTCTTTTGTATGTATTTTGTATACGACAACAACAACAACAACAACATATCTAGTATTATCCCACATTGTGGGGTCTGGGAGGGTAGTGTATACGCAGACCTTACCTCTACCTTGTGAGGATAGAGAGAATGTTTATAATAGACCCTCGGTTCAGGAAAGAATAAGCACCACATTAATGAAAATACATACAAGAAGGGACAGTACCAAAAAGGCATATAAAAGCAGAATAAAAACAGCAAGATAGTAAGGTGATCAACAATGAAAGAAAAAATGGTTAGTCATAAAAACCTACTACCAATAGAAAGCGAGACTGCGCGCCAATACTGTTGTTATGAACTCTCTAGACTACCTACTCTACTACCCTAATCCTCGACCTCCATACCTTCCTATCAAGGGTCATGTCATCGGTCAGCTGAAGTCGCACCATGTCTTGCCTAATTAGCTCTCCCCACCTCTTCTTTGGCCTACCTCTACCTCTATGTAGGCCCTCCAATGTCAGTCTCTCACACCTCCTCACCGGGGTGTCTGTGCTCCTCCTCCTCACATGACCAAACCACCTAAGTCACGCTTCCCGCATCTTGTCCTCAATAGGGGCCACACCCACCTTGTCGCGAATAACCTCATTTCTGATCCTATCTAATCCGGTGTGCCCACACATCCATCTCAACATCCTCATCTCTGCTACTTTCATCTTCTAGACATGAGCGATCTTGATTGGCAAACACTCAGCCACATACAACATCGTTGGTCTGACCACTACTCTGTAGAACTTACCCTTAAATTTTGATGGCACTTTCTTGTCACACAAAACACCGGAAGCGGGTCTCCATTTTATCCATCCCACCCCAATACAATATGTGACATCTTCATCAATCTCCTCATCCCATTGAATAATAGACCCAAGGTACTTAAAACTCCCTCTCCTAGGGATGACCTGCGAGTCCATCCTCACCTCCCCTTCATTTTCTTGAGTCTCGCCACTGAACTTACACTCAAAGTATTATGTCTTTGTTTTGTTCAACTTGAAATCTCTAGATTCCAGGGTCTGCCTCCATACCTCTAATTGCGCGTTGACACCGTATCGCATCTCTTCAATCAATACAATATTATCTGCAAATAGCATGCACCACGTCACCTCCCCTTGGATGTGGCGCATCAGTACGTCCATCGTCAGGGCAAACAAAAAAGGGCTGAGTGCTGACCCCTAATGCAACCCCATCATAATCGGGAAATGGTCCAAGTCCCCACCCACTATCCTCACTCGGGTCTTTACTCCATCATACATGTCCTTAATCAACTTAACGTAGGCAACAGGTACACCTCTAGCTTCCAAACATCTCCACAAAACCTCACTAAGAACTTTATCGTATGCCTTTTCTAAGTCGATGAACACCATATGCAAGTCCTTCTTTCTCTCCCTAAACTGCTCTATCAATCTCCTAACAATGTGAATGTCTTCTGTTGTCGAACACCCCGGCATAAACCCAAACTGGTTCTCGGAAATAGACACACTCCTTATCGCCCTTAGCTCTACTACTCTCTCCCATACTTTCATCATATATTGCAAGGTAAGTAATTCCCACATAATGTTAGCAAAATACATGGATTATATGTGGATTTAAACATAAAAATTAGTAGAAATTGTGATATTTTGAAAGAAAACCTAGAAATTAGTATTTTTGAATTTTTACCACAAAATTGAACAATGAATAAGGAAGAAATTATATATTTGAGGTCATGGTGTTATGGGTAAAGTTTATCTTCGAAATTTTTTGGAATCCGGGTACGTGGGCCCGAGGGTTGACTTTATTTACTTTTCTAGCGAAGTTGGGATTGTTATAAAATGATTAATTATAAGCATTGGGGTATATTTTTGATTGATTTGCACATTATTTGGCTAGTTTCAGACCGATGGGCTTTGGTTTGAGCTAGAGAGGCGTTGGAGTCGGTTATGAAACTTCGGAGCGAGGTAAGTCTCATTCTAACCTTGTGAGGGGTAAATTATCCCGTATGTGTTATTTTGATTACATGCTACATGTTGTGGGAGCTACGCACGTATGAGGTAACGAGTGTACGTGTGTATGCTAGAATTCCTGATTACGTCCGGGTAGACTAAGATTCATGCCATGTTTTAAATGTGCTATTTGAGATATCCTTGCTTGTTTAATTACTTTATTTCGTATTACGACCTGAGATTAGACTTGCGTAGAGTAATAGACTCGCTATTTTAGAAATTGGATGAGCTACTTGATTAACTGCGAAACAATTGTGTTTCCCTTACAAATTCCTCTCGCGTTGTGCATTTTCATTGAAAAGCTTCTTTATATTTCATAACTCACACGTATCTTTCTAAGCAGGGTCAAGGATCTGTTAAAGCTTCTTATTCTAATTGGACCGAGTCGTTCGCCTCGGCAATATCATATTCTTATGGGAGTGGGTCATTTGCCTCTGCAGTATAATAGATGCATCTATGGTTTGTGTCGTTTGACCCTCGGCAGTGTACACATTATTATGGGATCAGGTCGTATGCTTCGTCATTTCTATAAATATTCTTATGGGATCGGGTCGTTCGCCTCGGCAACGTCGTGCGTAATATTTGGCAAGAACCCACCGTATCTGTGATTTTTCCTGATTTGAGTTGTGACGATCTATCTGGTGGGGACCATTTTCCATATATACTCCGGTTGAGGAGGTGACCGATAATTGAGGGCTTGCGTTTACTGTTTAGAGGAGGATCGTACCACGTGCTTAAATTTGTTTACACTATTTTTACCATGCCTCATACTTGTTTATTTTCTGTTGTACTTGATTTATTGGACCACTAGTAAGTTTTGATGTCGACCCCTCGTTATTACTTCTCCGAGGTTAGGCTAGATACTTACTGGTACGCGTTGATTTACGTACTCATGCTATACTTGCTGCACTTTTTGTGCATATA